ACACGTATGTTTATTTAACTTGTTCACCTTACGCGCTTTCATGGGAACGGGTACATCACCCCTTCTAGTGTTTCTTCGATTTAAACTCTAGCCCTACATCTCTTCCAAAAATGCATTGTATGGTCCAGAAAACAAGATAACAAATGTGATGATTCTTACAAATGCTTTGAGCTACGACATGCATTCCATTCATTGTTGTGTTGGCTCGCTGGAGAATCTTGACTCATGGCCCTTAATTATATGCGATTGTTCCTTTTTTCGGCTTATACTGGGTCCAATTGTTATTCGCGTGGGATGCGCAACTTTTGTCCCAGTCATCACCATGCACAGCACATGTATCCAAGGAATACACACATGTACATGTATAGTCAGCAGTGTTCGGTTTTTATCATGGTCATTATGTAGGCCTACACGTATAATCAACCAGGCATGCATGTCAGTGCTTGTATGGGTAATTTTGATACCACTTTGTTCTGGCAAGCAGCGCAAATTTAGGAACCTCATTGGCGTGATATCCTGCTGTGGAACTTTGCCAGGAATCAATTAAGAAGAAGTCATTCCATTGTCCACGCACAATAAAAGTCAACTATATTCTTGACAATTTGTGACATCGATCTCGCCTACCGCAAGAAATTGGAAAATACACGACATTTGATGGCATGCACATCAAGTGAAAATGCATTAACATTGTCAGTTCATCACATTGGTACATCGATTGGTAAGTTTACAGTGTTGAGTTTGTTTGATTCACTCACTGATCCATTTTCCAGTATTCACGGATTGTTCCTTTCTCACATTCTCTGTTAAAAGTAGGAATAGTTGGGATAAAACGTAGGGTAAATACGCCACGCATGGACACGAAACCTTGAAAATAAGTCGAGAAAATCATTAAAAATATTTTGAACAGAAAAAATTAAATCAAGCGAGCGGTAAAAATTTCAAATTTGAATACTTAGATAGTACAAGAAAATAAAAAATGAAGCATGGAGAATTGAACTTTTGAAAAGGGCGAAAAAGTAGAGATAAAAATTGAGGATTTAATATATTGCAGTTGAAATGGATATATATATACAATCGCCTCCGGGAATGAAATATCCAAATAAAAAGAGTATTTTATACTCTTCCCCATAAAATCAAGATCTTTGCAATCGCCAACAAAATTGAGCTCAAAAAATACGAGAAGAGCATATTGAACACAACCATGCGTAGAAAACAAAAAACGGCAAGAGACAACTTGTAAAAGTAACAGTGTAACAGAATTCCTTGAATGTGTGGCTATTTTAACGGATTTATTTCGTGCATTAAAAGACATGTATTTTGGCATGTGAGATCAACGAATCGTCGTATATTTGAGGTATCTTTAACATCCCATGGACAAAGTGGTGTATTTTCACGTCCCGAAGAAAAAAAGCTAAAAACACGGGAAAATGCCCCACATCCGCTGAAGTTGCTGTTTATTCTTGCTGTATTGCTGTTGGTTGTTTTGGCTCTTGGGAAATAACGTCTTACCACTAAACATTGGGGTTGATAATGGCACACCCTCTTGGGGACATAATTCTCCCCGCCCTAACCCTCGAAAATAACGCCCAGGGTCATCTAGGAACTTGAAGCAGGCAATGAGAGAGCAACTCTGCACGTCGCGTATTAACAAAGAAAACATCTTTTGGGAGAGGCGACTGTTCTATTGTGCGTTTTACATGCATGGTGCCGGGCTATCTCTGGCAGAAGAATTCATGTGTACACATATCATGTATATCGAAAAGAAACCTCATTTCTTAGGTATGGAAAGCCTCTGGTTCTCCGCCCTGACTATCCCATAATGCACTTAAATCCGGTCGGTATTGACATCAAGGCATTATGCAAATACTGTACCCTTAGAATACCGCAACGTCCTTGCCCCCTTTCAACCTGCAATCAGCAGAAGAGTGGACGCCGAAACAAAACGGACCGAACTGACGCTGGGACAAAGTGCCTTACGGGATTCTGGATCCACTTGTCCCTTCTTTATTCCGGTTCTGTTCAAGGCCCAGTTGCAAGCCACTCCTGCCCAAATGCAATAGACGCAAACAATACCGGAAATGGAGGGCGGCAAGATGGAATTTAAGAGGACGTTTTCGATGGAGGGCCCAGACCGAATCTTTCCTCCCCTTGCAGCCGAATTTTGACAGGTCTTTTGCCGTCGGGCTTCAGTACGTTGTTTGATTCTGTTTTTCAGGTTCTTTTCAAAGCCCAGTAATTTTTTCCAGCCACCCTTTTCCAAATACACGCAGGCGTGACAGACAAGAAGACAGAATCTAAAAGAGTTTCCGAGAGTGAAAAAAATCAATCGGAATTCTTGCTTGTCCAGGTTGGTTATTTAGCATACAAAAGCTTACCGCCTTAAGTTCTAGTGCTGCGAGCTGGCGGGCGAACACTTGTACAGGCATGAACAAAGGGAATACGTTACCAGCATACCAAGTTTCAAGACACCTTCAGACAAACGGCAAACGAGTGTACTGTCAGCCGACATTCAGTAAATAATCTGTTTTTGATGTGATATGGGACACTACGATAGCGTACTAGTGCCATGAAATAAGTGATTTCAAATCGTGGAGTATATTTTTCAAAGTCTGTTTTTCATTAAACAGATGGCACTACTAGGCTTTCGTAGAACAGCCAACATTGAGCCTCAGTGTTTTGCATATGAGCGACGCAGCCCGTACTTGACCCGCTTTTCGCCGGCCTAACCAAGTGTAGCAAGGTAGTATATAAAGCCGCTTGAAGCTAGTTGGATTTCACACATCAGCCTAACTAGATCACCTTGTCAAAGTTAATGATTTGAAGACGCCAAGTCGTTTTTTTTTTAATTTCCATTAAACTTCATAATTGGAGTCGTGTTCGCTTGCGAATAGTCTGAAAAATTCCTCAACCATGTCAATGATCTCGCAGCTAGGCTGGATGCTTGCTAGTGTTACGCCCGTGCACGTCTTACTCTGCGGCGTGGTTTGCCTTATCTCATGGTGGTGGTGCCGGCAATCCGCGGCGGGCCTGCCTCCAGGACCCTGGGGTGTGCCAGTGTTGGGGCTCCTCCCGCGGGTCTTCCTTGAGCAGCGCCGAGGCTCCCATCCTCACCTCCTCTTCACAGAGTACGCCCGGCACTACGGACCGATCTTCAGCGCCAGGATCGTCAACAAGACGCTGGTGGTCCTCAACGACTATGATTCGGTGAGGCAAGCCTTCCAGAATCCGAACTTGAGCGACAGGCCGCCGAGTACTCTGATCGCAGAAGCGATGAAAAGTGAAGGTAGGCCTGCTATTATCACTCGGTGTTAATCACTGTAAAAATATAGGCCCCACTTATTGTTGATGTTCAAGCGGTAATTTGGATTAACGGTAATGAAAGAAAGACGGTTTTTGGTCTGTTTAATTTCCCTTCCACAAACATGTCACTTTAAGAAGCTGCATCATTTAGCCTCCCCCTTCAGAAAGGATTTAAAAAAGAAAAAAGTTGCCCCTCCTGAAAAAAATTGGCCTTCCCAACTATTCCAGTTTGGTTATACTTCCTTGCAGAAATTACTTAATCTGTTAATTTTTGGAAGAATTTCACAGGATTAGAGGGCGACCTTTCGGCAAAAGCTTAGCAGTGAAAACGTTCTTTGTACGATGAAAAGAGGGTATCATTTTAATAACCACTTTCCGGCAAATATAATTTATATGTGAAACACGTACTCTTTTGTCAACAGTATATAGGCGCAGTAGACCGTGCACAACCTCTGTCCCCAAATTACAATAGTTCGCATTTCCTCGAAACTCGCCGCGCGCCGAATACAGAGCTTTTTTTTACAATAGAGCAAGTGTGTGTGCTAAATTTGTAAACGCAGAAGGCCGACAAGTAGGTCTAAGGAAGCGCAAACACGTCCAAACAATCGAGTTCAAAGGAAAGTTTCTCGTCTAAGTTTGCTTCCTTTATTGCCTCAGCTGCCTCTTACATTTTGACTTTCTTTTGTTTTTCTGTGAAAACATTTGGTGCTAAACGTAAATGCGAAACATTTCTGGTTATACCGGAAATTCCTCTAGACACAAAACAATCGGGAAAAATGTCACGAGAAACCATCCACCATCTTGGAAAATCCGCCATCTTAAAGAGAGAATAAAAAGGCCACCCCTTTAAGACAAACTTGGCCGAGATTTTTTTTTTCACCTGACCTCAAATAGGCCATGAACCTGAAGGTCTGGGGGAATGGCAGCTTCCTAGTTATACTGCATACATGTACAGTATACCTCTTCTATGCACGTACAGCCCTTTTTCCAGACTGTACAACCAACCGTCACAATAGCAATTTTAAAGGGTCCATACGATTTGCCTTTTTCATGCGCTTTTTTTGTAACTTTATGCTTCCCTTATATGTATGAAACTATTTCGACATAGGGTTATGTGTTTTGAAAATTGCGCACCGTACATTTAAATTAGTCCAGCAGTTTTCGGGACAACTGCATGTGGGGGGTTGTTTTTGTGACGTCAATCGAAATTTGCACCCCCAAAAAATCCAGTGTGAAATTAGCTTCAGGAGCCCTTGGTGAAACGAAGCCGGGCGAAAACGAAACTGTTACCCACTAGTTTTAGTTTTAGTTCCTCGTAACCCCGCTGGGGTTTTGAGTGCCGGCTCCTCCTACCCCCCCCCTGTGTGTTCTTTCCATTCTTGTGAAACTAGAAACAAGACGGGTTAGAGTCAAACTGACTGACACTAACTTCAAAAAGACTGAAATACTTCAGAAGCGAATTCGTTTGTGTGAAGGAAACTGCAATTCCCGTAATGTCCCGACTCTCAACCGCTGAGAGTAAACTTTCACTTGAACAGAGCTGCACTGTTTTGAAATACGACAATTTGACAGGAAGTACGTGTACATGTATGCCAGAATTGGGTGTGTGCCAAGTTTATGCACGGTTCCACAAATTGCTCTTCCATTCAGTCACTAAAGTAATCCAATGCAGTGCCAAGACTTGGGTGGCTTAACTACAGTGCAAGATTGGTGAAGGTTAGAGTATCACGCAAGCTACTTCAAGTGGTATACTCTTTTCCAGGGAAGAGCGTCAAGTGGCCCTTTTTCTTTTCGCCAGAAGATTTGATTTTTCTTGTCTTACCGACTACGAGAGTTTTCCTTATTTAACAGTCACCACGGGCTGGTTCGTGTCTTCTTAACGGGCCACACGTACACCAAAGTATCGAGCAAAGACCAAAGCAACCTGTCGAAGTGAATAATAACACCAACAGTGTGTAATACTAACTATCTCTAAAATGATGCTCCTTTGCCGTAGTACTAATTATTAGCCATTCAGAACGCACTACTTATGCGAGTGATTCCGACGAACAAGCAGAGTAAAGGCCGGTTCCTACTTTCAGCGCGATAAACGCGAATTTATGAGAGTCGGTCAAATATTTTAGCTACAAATTCGCAGAAGTTGAACACGTTTCAACTGTGGTGAAAATTTGCTGCCATTATTCGCGACGCCTTTAACGCTGTCGCTCCAGCTGGTGATTTGTAGTAAATGTGAATTTGTTTTCATTTTTCTGTTGGCCAGGTTGCAACTTCAAGACAAAACATTAGGGGGATAAGATATGTATATCGCAATTATGAGATGCCGATTGATTAGGCCTATTTTTACAACTGATGAGACTTTTGAAGTGAACATTTTTTATTAAGTCTGCGTTCAGTGAGTGAATATTCGCACATGCTTCGATATCTTTGTCCATAAATAGTGAGACATTGCGGCGCGCACTTTTTATTAATAAAGTAGGTGTACTCTGGCTACTGAGTCAGTCATATGTGAAGTAGATGGAGAACAGGGAGGGAGCCAACACACAGCCGTGCTCGACGCCTTGGTTCACAATAAACTGAGATTGTGCCGTTGAGGGAGACTCGGGCCATCATGCCAGTGTGACCGCCTTTAGAACAGCCATAGTGACGCAGAAGAGACCAGAGACACTGGTAAAGTCGATGAAAAAGATGTACAAGGATACGTTCTGTTCGATAGCTTTCTCTTGCAGCTGGAGCACTGTGAAGATTACATCGATCGTTGATGCGGAAGCCACACTGCGACTCAGGGAGAACTGCATCGAGGATCAGAATCACTTTGAAAAGCATTTTGCCAGCGGTTGAAAGAAGTGAGATGCCTCAGTAGTTGCTGCAATCTTGCTTGTTGCCTTTCTTCTTGAAGATGGGGATGGCAGTAGCGTCCGTGAACTCCCGTGCCACATGCTTCTCATTCCAGATAGCTGAGAGGACGTCATAGAGAGCACTGGTGATCTGTTATCATCCATTGTGGTAGATCTCCACTTGCCATCCATTCCGGGAGACTTGTTTGAGGCAAGGCTTCGTACGGCCTGTCGCACTTCATCTATGAGCAGAGGATCATCAGCACTGAGAAGCATTGGACTCAGCGATTCTGTCAAGAATCGAGATCTCAGCGTTTGGTCTTTGGTTCAGGAGCTGGGCAAAGTGTGTCCGCCATAGTTCAAGGTTATCACCCTCTCAGTCTGCTGGAGGAGCAGCTGATTGGCAATGGCAGACCCAGTGCCAGAAGTACCCTGTAGCCTTGATCCCTTGGGATTGCCAGACCAGAAGAAGGTGTGGGTCTTCTCCCTCCTGTCTCCTGTGACCAGGAGCTTCATCGCTGAGAGAACAGCGATGTCCACATCAAAAACATCGAGCTCCTCGCCAAGCAGAGCAGTTCGTCTCTTGGGGAGGTTGGGGTTGTCGTCGAGGAGGGTTCGCACGTTCCAACATACGATCTGTAGCTTTGATTTGAGGTTTCACCCACTGAGAAGGAGAACCCACTGAACGTAAGGCAGGCAGCCAGGTTGATTAAAGGGTGAACCTTTTACCTCACGTTTTCTAGAGGCGTCCTCGGATTGAGGCAGGCGGGGCATTCCTTGAAAAAGGCCGCCTGATCGCTCAGGAAGGACCTCACAGCACCTCACCCGTCAGAGGCTGTGCGACCATCACTCCTAAGCCGCACAAATACAAGTTCTTGCTACCGCTTTCCTGCTTCTCAAACCTACTGGCACCATAAGAGGCCTTGTCACTTTGCGACTCGGAGTTCCCGAAGTGGCCCGCACAAAAATTAGGTGAGGGGAACATTGTGCGGGTACTCTCCCTCCCTCTGGGTTATGTGGCTGGAGAATCAAGTGGCAGGAAGAAGATCCAGACGACTGGGCCAGCAACTTGACTGCCCAGCAGTATCAGACTCATGATGCCGATAATCTTCAAAGATGTAATATTTCTAAGATGTACAAGGCACTTGGCCGAATTCCTCCTGTCGCTGCTCCGTGATGTTGAAGACGGCAGAAAAAAAATGCAAAGATTCACAGCACATTGTTATACAGGTGCACTCATACCTGCGTATTAAAAGAGATAAAGGTAGTTGCCGATCTGACTTCTCCTTCACGAACAGTACTCATCAAGTAGCCACTTTTTATTTCATATTGCTGTGCACGTAGGCCTGATTATAAATTCCACAACCCAACGGCTGTTACATTAATGGTAGTGCCGAATTAGTTGTAACCGTGCGCAATCCCGATGACCAATTACTATTGTCTTGTCCGCCATTGTTCTTTTCAAAATAGCGTCATCAGTTATTAAATTACAGGAAAGATTGGGCTGGCAATGACAACATTCAACCGTATTTCATGATCGGAAGATCATAACTGCGTATTTGAAACCCTTTTGGACTCTGGAGGCAAACTAACCTCATGTTTTACATCTGCTGTAAAGTTCAAATCAGGTAAATTTGAATAATGCAGAAAGTTAAGACTAAGGGGTATAACATATTCGGCATAATTAACTGGATGATCGTGGATACAGGTATAAACATGAACAGTCATCTGCAGACTGCATTTTATGACGTCACCCTCGTGGTATGATGTACTAAAATAGAACTTTCCAGTCTTGACTGGAAATAATGATACATTGTGACCAATGTCAACATATATTTTAATACGTTTATTATTTCCATTGGTTGTCAGGCGTTGCTATGGCTTCGGGGGAACCGTGGAAGGACCTCAGACGATTCTGCCTGACCGTCTTGAGAAGCTTCGGCGTGGGTAAGTCCAGCTTTGAGGAGCAGATCGGCGCGGAGGGCCGAGCGTTGGTTCAGACGATGACCAGCTACGGTGGCCACCCCTTCGACCCCAAGTACCTGATCGGCAACGCCGTGGCTAACGTAATCTGTTCGGTCGTGCTCGGAAAACGATACGAGTACTCAGACGCAAACTTCTCCTACCTGATGCGAGTGTTCCATCGGATCGTCAATCACGTTGGGTCCGGGGGACTCTTGAACGCCGTCCCGGTCATGCGCGTGTTCACGCGCAACAAGGCAGACGTCTACGCGAGCTTCGGCGAGTTCAGGAGCTTTATCCTCTCCGTTGTTGAGTCTCACCGAGCGACATTGGACCCAAAGAACCCACGGGATTTCATTGACGTCTTCCTGAATGAAATTGAAACCAACGAAAAAGCCATGTCGAATGGCACTATCCAAGAAAACGGTTCCACTTCCACGAGCGGTTTCGTGGCTAAGAAGAGCATCCCTCCTAATGGTCTCCCACGGACGCATCACCCTCACCTCAGCGACAAGCGCATCGTGGGCACCATTGGGAACCTGTTCGCAGCTGGCATGGAGACTACTGCCACCACTCTCCTCTGGGCCCTCCTGTACATGGCTGCCTACCCAAAGATCCAGGAGCGAGTCCAGGCAGAGATCGACGCTGTGGTCGGTCGCAATCGCCTGCCCGTGATGGCAGACAAACCGGAGCTTCACTTCACCCAGGCCGTGCTGCTGGAGGTGCAGCGGATTGCGGTGGTGACCCCACTCGGGATACCGCACGCAGCGGCATCAGACACTGAGGTGTTGGGCTTCAAGGTGCCCAAGGGTAGCCTGCTGGTGTCCAACTTTTGGGCACTCTTCCGCGATCCCAACATTTGGCCGGAGCCGGACAAGTTCAAACCAGACAGGTTTTTGGATAAAGATGGTCTTGCTTTCAAGCCTGAGGAACTTATACCATTTAGCACAGGTACCAGACTATCAGTGATCGTAATGCCCATTGACAAAAAATTACAATTAACACCTACAAACGATGGCGTGTCCGCGTTGTGGGTCCACGGGGAATGGTAAAATGAAATTTCTTTCCATCCGACTGTCCAATTTTGTTTCATCCGTGAAAGAATCATCACCACCCAAAAGAAAGGTGGTATAGTTGCGTTCATGAAATGTTGGCGATTTCACAGTCTATTTAAACAAACTGTAAAATTCCCTCCGCTGGATCGATATACCACCATACGAAAGTGAGACCTGCTTAGAGGTCTACTTAAGCATACATAATGACTTCAAGGAAATCTATATTTTGCATGAACCGGGCGGGCTCCAACAAGTCCGTATTGTTCCACGTGTATGTAAAGTTTGCTGATTTCATGGTTCTTGCACATCGGAGTAACCTTATTTTTCTTGTCATTCCTGCTGAATGAGGGAAAGAAATGTGAAATGCACTGAATAAGCCGCCTGGTCGTCCAAAGGGAAACAAAAATGTTGAAAATCGAGAAGCTCGACCAGGCAAACTTACGAACGGCTCGGTGTTGTATGATAAGAAGCAGCACGTTCTGCTCATTGGCCTGGCATTCCATTTGAACCTTTAACTGTCTTGATTTTTATAGGTCGCCGTAGCTGCATCGGGGAGCACCTGGCCAAGATGGAACTCTTCATCTTCTTCAGCTACTTCATGCATCAGTTTACCTTTGAAAAACCCGACGAAGCGCCCCCGTATACGTTTGAGGCACGGGTTGGCTTAACCCACTATCCCGTGCCGTACCAGATCCGTGCTCTCCAACGAAACTAAAATCTGTACGGCCCTGATTTGTTTCCACAGCATATGCATACATTTCTAATTGCTCAAGTCTGGGGGTCCCTCACACTAAGATCTTCTCGGTACCTTGACACGATTATGCCCTCCCGGGTTGGTAGAATGTACATGTAATCTAACCCCACATAACGAAGAAAAATTAATACAGTTTTCTTGCAACTATGCTCTACATGGAAGCTGAATCAATTTCCCAGGTACGGTCACGAAAACTTGTTATTTAGTTAAGGCGTTTTCTCTTCTGATAACTCCAGAAAAAGCTGCAAATTCTTTGTTCTGTCTAAGATACACTTCCAGACCCTAATCTTATCTGCTCATGCCGATGACAGTGTCTTCTTTGTATCATGAAGTTGTTGAGAGTCAAAAATTTGTTCAAGTGCCACTCTAGGAGATACGCTGTTTTGCTGCTACCAACATCCAAAGGTTAACTCCATATCCTTACAGACAGCATGCTATTTTTATCGCGTAATACACCCAGGGAGATATTTATGTATGCATAGTATATCAATCTAAATTGGGGTGCAGTTTTTCGTGTTCCTCTCAAATCGGATGTTTCCAAGAGCGATTAAGTAATGCAGAGCTACCTGCCAAACAAATTTGGTATTTCCATGTCAAGTTAAACAGGTATGGTGTAACAGGGACAGCAACCTGTCGCACTTTTGGACCCCAAATAGAATGATCCACGTACACGTTATGGGCGTGTCAAGTGGGGGAGCAAGAGAGGTGGTTCCAACCCCCCCCCAAAAAAAAATGGGAAAAAATAATGTATGCAATGCTGTATTGTATCTTCATCTTAAAAAGGCTTTGTGTGCAGGTGGCCATCTTGTGGGGCAGTTGTTTTGTTCCACAGGGAAACTTACTTTGCGGATACCTGTAGAAAAACTTGCCTGCAAGATGGCAGCCATGCAAACGCTCTATGAGTGTTTTGGTGGGGTCTGCCTGATGGTCTGGAGGTTCGATCGTCCGAACGCATAGTTCACATTGCTGGTTCGTTTATATTCCAAAAAATGAAGAGCGGTTTGCAAATCTGATGCGATATTTCGAAAGTTCTCTCTTCTGAATTTAGAATAAGGTTCGATATCCCGAATGCCGGGACAATAAAGTTTAATAATCAACCTTCGGACTATCGGGATGTCGCATTTTGTTGCAGGTGCATTATGTTGTACTTCCACCGAACAGATATATATCGTGTATATAGGTGGCTAGCTACAAGGTTAGGACAGGGTATAACAATGCAATAAGCCTCCAATAGCCTACAATCACATGACACGCCTTACCCTCCATTAATTAAAGAATGACTGTTTGACAATTTTTGTCAACATCTTGGAAGCAATTCAGTTTTCTCATCAAAGTGTACATTTTTTGATGTGATGAAGCCCCACTAATTGGCTCCGTGAGTCCTTTTGTGTTTCAATATGGGGCGATATTCACGTGTTTCTTAAAATTTGGCGTAATAAAAACTACTGAAGTCTGGTTACTATTTCAAATCTACCAAACGGAAATGTCCAGAGGATGTGTTGTAAATACTAGTAATCGACAAATGATCCTCCTTAGAAGAAATTTTCAGAATAATAAAAGTATCTGTTTGCATCACACTTTTCTTTATTATCATTTTTAACCAAAATAACTTTAATCATTGTTTGAATATTAGTTTAATTCAAAAATTAATAATACTTTTGTTAGGTAGGTGCATTGAGTGTTGCTGTCTCTTAGAATTAGTGTTGAAATGGTGAATCAGTTTGCAGCAATGGCCAGTTATAATTCTTTGTAAAACAATGGATAAAATTGATACAAACCGGCACACAACTAAAATACAACTTGTAAGCAACGATATCAAATCATCGAAAATAGTCCCTTCCACTCTTTACGACTCTGCCTGTCTTTGGCAACCTTGATTCAGTATCTATATAAGATCTTTTTTCAGCATTCATTCATCCAGCGATAAAAAGGAATCGAACGTGGAAAAAATGTTGGTTGTACTGTAGAGGATGTGTAATATAGTTACAAATTTATTTTTGGTCTTAAGAATTATTGCAATTTTTTTCAGTTTAGGCCTACTACCAGAAAATACATTTGAATTGTATAATCTGTGACGGAATGTAATTCGTGCAGAGTTACCCATACGTACATGGTGTTTATTTATGACAATAATTTCCTGAAAAAAAACTCTTTTTTATACGTTGGTATCATAAAGACCATCCATTATAGCGCGGCCAATAGGGTGGATGCATAGAGGCAGAATGCAACCAGTTGGAGAATTTCAAAGCAAATTTAAAATCAAATCCGAAAAGGAGCGGGAAAAGAACATGAGTTCTGCGTTACAAAAATGCTCCCAAGTTCACGACATTCTCCGAAGCCTTAATTTCGTCTAGCGATTGAACCCATACTGGACGAAAATCTGTTTTGCAACGGGCAAACAGAACCTTGGCCATGCACAGCAATGCGAATGTCTCCTTGCGCCAGTGTTATTTGCAAATGGAACTTATGAAGCATGAACAATTGTTACAGAAATAATAAATTGTAATTGTCTTCGATTTTAATAACTATGCTATTGTGGGATATATATTGCTCTTTGGAAAAATACTAATTAAAAACGATAACGTGATCTGTTTCCTTGTTCTGACTGGATTTTGCTGGCAAGGTCGTCTCGCCATTATACTTTCTGCACGAAACGCGTTCGTGTCCCCCCCCCGGGGTATTTCGGTTCGGGAGCGTCCCAGAGCTTGAACGAAAAGAGGCCATTTGAGCTTGAGGAAGATGTATCCACCGCTTGGGTTGTTCGCGGCTCTCCTTGCTGGCTTGATTCTTGGAATACAATTCGGGGAGGCTGCCACGAGATTTAACTGGCGCTCAGTAAGAAGGGTAAGATTTTTCAGGTTTAGTTCTTGACCGAGATCGTTTCACTGAGATGAGAGAAAGAATATACCTTGATATTTCACCCAGTTGGAACGGAGTCTTGAAATTTGGCATAAATTCGAAAAGCATAGTGTAATAGGCTAGTTTCTGGGCTGATTTCTAAATGCAAGCCGTTTCCGGCATGGTTCAGTTCAGAATCTGTAATGAATTACTGTGCACAAAGATTTTATTCACATCCATCAGTAAATCAGTCAGTCAATCAACAAACAGTCATGAACATTGTCATTCCCATAATGCCATGCGCTTGAGTACAAATAACAACAGTTGTAACAAATTCTAATATGAGATATAAGGAAGAAAGAACATTATTTAATTGATGGTCAACACAATTTATTAAATTCAGAACAATTCCAAGCATGCTATATTCGCTGGTAATTGGATGGAATTGAACAGTTTGATGTAACTTGAGACATCCGTAGAGGAAAATCGCCAGCTTTATGGATACATTATTTTGATTATCTCCTCTGAAGAATTCAATTAGGCTTCTCCATGGATCCCGTGGCAGACAGTTTGGAAGAATTCAGCGACCTCTCCCTAGCAGTGTTGGGCACACTAACGCCCACTTGCGTGAGTACAGACCTATAGTATTGGTTAACAGAAGCAGTTGTGAAACGGAGAGATCCCCCCGCGTTGAGTGAATCATTGTTTTGCTGTCTCAGGAATTCTTTTCCAACATCTTGGGGCGGATGTGTTGGGTAACAATAATCTAGAGTATTTACAGGGATTGGATATGTGGAAGGGGTATTCCTCCGTCTCATTTCGTGCTATTACTCGGAACACAGACATTCAAGCGCTGAAAGGGGTTTGAAGTGCACATAGCCATGCAACCACACTATCTGAAATTTTCGTCTTTCAATTGACTCATGCACAGGCACTAGTCATAAATCATTAAAGATCTCGCCAATGGTACAGTGCTGACGGCATTGGTAATAATTCCAACCAGGTTGACAAAATTTCAACCAAAGAGCATGCAAGCAGAGTTCGGCTTTTGCATGAACTTCAGGCTTAAAAGGTGGGTGGAACAAAGACGTCAGCCATTGTTGATTACTATCGGTTACTCCAATTAGTACTATATTGAGGCTCACTTGAGATTGGGTCTAATCCAACCGTTCAGCTGATGCGTACTATACCCCAGTTTTGTTCATTTTCACGCGAAAAAGTTCATCGAACTTGGCCGACGCGAATTTTTGTCAACCACTAGCGTAGCAGTGTACGTGTAGCAGTGGCGCGAATAGGCCTCTTCACTAATGAAGTCATAATTATGCACGCGTGCGCACAAATGACCTGAACGGCAAGAAGTGTGAGCAGGCCGTTGAAAATGTACAGGGGTGCGACTTTGATGATCATTTCAATCGTGTTTGCGATTAGTTTCTAATTTAAATGGAATTTTTAAAGCTCTGTAAAAGGACCTCATATTTGTATGCATGAGATCGCCGTTTCTTAGTATGGCCCCCTTCCACCATAAGTAGTATAAATTACATTGTTAGTGTTTCTTGGAGAAAACCTGTGCATTTGTAAAAACACGTACCGATGTTCAATATACAAGTATACTGTACGTACATAACTTACCATTAAACTTGGTCATGGCTTGGAGTACTACCGAAAGAAATGGTATCCAGTTGTTGCGTTTGGGGTTGTACAAGACAAAGTGCAGATTCCAAAGAGAAAGGGATCTGGTTCTTCAGACTTCCCAAGTGCAGAAAGCAGCGAATCGAATGCGTACAGTACCGGTACGTGTGCATTGAACATCAGTACCTTTTTGTTTTTTACAAATGCACAGGTTGGCTCCAAGAACACTAACAATGTAGTTTATACTCTTATGATGGAAGGGGGCCATACTAAGAAACGGCGATCTCGTGCGCACAGGAAATATTACGAAATTACGATTTCGTCTTTACAGGGCACAAAAATTCCACTTAAATTAGAAACTAATAGCAAACACGATTTAATGGGATTTCTGAAGAAATGATTATCAAAGTCGCACCCCTGTACATTTTCTATGGCCCACTCACAATGCGCTTCTTGCCACCAAGGCAATTTGTGCGCATGCGTGCATAATTATGAATCTATTAGTGAAAAGCTCTAGGCCTATGTTGAGACGGTAGGCGTCCGCCGGTGAAAGTCCATGCTCATGCTTCCGGGTGCCCTGTCCCCCACCAGATTCGAAATGTCGCACTGCTCACACCCCATTATGTACAAACTACAGTTCATTGCTTTCAGTGCATGCCCCCTTGAAAAAAAAAAAGGTGCTCCCCCCATTGCCCCTGGGTGCCCACTCAGAAATGCAACCCTAATGACAATAGGCAGCCACCGAACACGTTCGTTCTTTAACTGTTCGCATGATAAAAGCTGAGGAAAAAGTGCTGCTCAAATTGAAAAAAATGAGGAACCTTCATCAAATTGTGTTGCATTGTGAGGAAACCTGCAAAGAGTAGCAATTTATACCCACAACTCACAACTTCACAACTCACCCAAAAAACTACGAATAGGAAAATTTTGACCAATTTCGGAAAACTCCATATAAATGGGAGAAATTCCTCTCGTTTTTGATCACGCGACCCCGGCGGCAATAAGCCCTCAAGATCCCTTGAAGAAGTTGGAATCTTTTGGCCCTGGAACTAATCGATTTCCCAGTATATATTTATCCAAAACATATACTGGTACGTCCTGAGTCCCAGCCAGGCAAAATCAAGTGATTAAATTTGGCTGACGTTGAAAAGGCTGTGGTTTCAAATCGTATCTGTTTTAGCAGATATTGTTTTCATGCATGTCTGTCTATTTGTCGTGAAGGCGCCAGATACTCAAACAAACTGCTCGAACTCACAACTGAGGATCTCCAAAGGCATCCTTGCCCTTCATGTGCATATTAATCATTTAAAGACTAACGAATGTAGCGTGGGCGTTCAGCATGCTCGATGATCAGATTTTTTTTCTGTGTGAAATCTTTGCCAGAGGCCAACACATGTAGGTTAAAGTATGGGCGAAACACTTGAGCGTCCTTTGTGGCAAGTTTCGAGGGGTCAACCGACTTTTCACGTTCATGAAGTCATATTGTGCGGTGAGCAATATACAGACGCCCACTATCAGGCAAACTGTCAATTGTATTTATTTTTTCAGGGTCCGAATCAGACACGAAGACAATGGAAAAAGGCAAACACCGCTTCCTCGTCGGGGGGGGGGTGGTTGTTGACTTTTGTTATCTAATGTGACCCAGTTTTTCCCATTCTTTCTGAAACTGTTGGATAAAGTCGAAGCTCAACCCAGTTTGATTTCAAGGGTCAAACGGTTATAAGCCCTACCCTGGGAAGAACTTACAGACAGGTGCAGTGATTAGACAGCGCTATCATCGTGCCTTGCATGGTTGTACTTCACAGCACAGTTCCTCAATACAGCATTGTTGGAAATGTTTTTCTCGTTTAGCAGTAATATACGTGGAAGCCATCTTGCAGGGCAGTTCTATTTGTTTCACAGTTAAACCTCCTTTGTGCATATCCTGCGGAAATAATAAAAAGCACTAGCCTACAAGATGGCAGTCATGCAAACCCTCTATAGGCCCGTACAGGCGCTCATCCAAACCTTTTCAGCTCAGAGCAAATGAGCGACTACAAGGTGTCATTTTGGACAACAGAGTCACGCAAAGCAACCAACTGTAGGTTGGTGGATCATTGTAGACTTCAACTAGATACACTGTGCCTAAAATGCACAATACCATTATTTGCGCAAAGCATTTGCGCGCAATGGAATCTGTTCAGCACACTCTACCTCCTCAGTGTACATGTACAACTAGTCGTGGGTAGCCACGCCAGGTCGGTCGATCGGTCGGTTGGTTTGTTTGGTTATAGGTTGCGTCAAGGTTCCGTTAAAGTCTGCATAGGGTTAGAGCAGGTTGGATTGGGTTGGATTATGGGCCGGATGACTGTATTTGTCACTCGAACTTGCCCTAAGTTTAACCTTTGACGAAAGGTTTTCCGTTAGTGACCTGTCTAGCGGGGGCGGGGTGACTTAGCACCCAGCCCAGTTCTGCTTCCACTATAGAAATTGAAAACGACAGCGCTTTAACTCTCGAAACCATTCAGCGACCTTTACCCTTCCTTTGAATCCCAGCTTTTTCATAACTGGACAAAGAAAAATCGGCTCCTTTTTTCCTGGAAAGGTTCTTGACACTACCCAACTTGGAAACGATAAGACAACAGTGTTTTCTGCAAATGTGTGTTTTTCTTACAGTATAGCGAGCTGAAAGCGTTATATATGTACGCCCCATAACGCCCTTTTCAGAATATTTTTCTGGCAAAGATAGGCATTACGTTTTCTTCATAAATGATAAGGCAAGTGAACCAATAACAAATTGATAATTTTTCCTCTATTATTACTCGAAATCAAGTCATTTTTAGTTCACAAATAGTGTGAAATTGGTAAAGTCCCTTAAAACTTGGAGTATTGGACTTTGACCATAATGTCATTGAGGTAATATTGACCAATCGGAGTCAGGATTTGAAGCTTACCATCCAACACTGACCAGCTACATTCAACATTTCAGCTTGGCGACTGGTGCCTTGATGAAAGATAGGTGAAGGTGATTTCTTTCCATTGGCCTTTAAAGTTTGTATTTTGAAAAAAAAATTACCATGCGTGTATCTGTATCTTGTTGAATAAGCACACAGCTGAAAAACAAACGGCTGGAAGAAAAAAAGTAATGTTTGGCTCGGTCACTTCCTTCATCAGTTTATGCACGAAATCCACTTGTTTTCCAAACCCATGAGACATGGAAAATAGTTCATTATTTTAAAATGGAAAGAGTTCGAACTGCTTTATTGTATCACCAAACTCATTGCCTGTCTCTTTATCAAGTCACCTATTGTGGGTATTAAATATAAAAAACACGGGGGCCCACCAAACGCAAAGTGTTTCATAAGTACATGTACCATTTACCAAAATCAAAGCCGACATAGGTACTCGAACTATTGGTGTGCTGGGCACTATACAGTAAATCGGCTTTATTGTTTGTGAACACTTAAAGCACACTTTGCTATGGGAGTGATACCCACTGTGGGTCACGTGATTTTGCGGGCGCAATCAGTCTGTAAATATAAGGCCGTCGTTGTACTTTTGGTTTTGTCTCATCCCGCCCTCGCAAAACCTGCGAGCAGACGACAAATAATTTGGAGTTGCCAACATAAGTGGCAGCCTAGAAACCGATCACAAACGCCCATGGAAAAATTGAGTCACAGAATATGTCATCGTGACAAAGGACCTGAACTTTCTGAGAACGGCGTGGGGATTGTTAGTTTACTCATGGTTTACTTGAACTGAATATCGAAAAGGACACGAGCAAAAAAAAAAATCGGTGGGGTTCCTGGAGGGTCGCTACCGTGGGTATCTTTACCTGAATTTGACCTGTAATAAATTTCCCGGAGATGATGCATGGCTCGTGTCTTTCCTTGGCCATTTGCCACGGATGGGCGCGAAGCTTAAACAATAACCGTGCATGCTCTAAGGGAATGAAATTCTTCATCTCAACTGAAAAATTTTTCCTGAAATAAATCTCATGAACTTTCCCCTATCCTGGAAAACTTACCATGTCAACTGGGAAGAAAATACACAATAAATTCAACTGCGTGTTGGAATTTTCCAGTCTATAACAGGTCAAACGGGGTTTTCGTCACAACTCGCTGTCTTTCAGGTTACAAGTTGCCTGAAGGCCAACGGGGCCATTGGGGATGATTTATTATTATAGTTTGTATTTTTCTAGGTTGGAATCCAGTTTTTTGTTTCTATTTCAAGGTTTCAACTTTGTGGACCAGCAGTCCCAACGGTGTCCAAGCTACCGTTTCGCCTGTACCTACACCCATCAGTGCATCAGTAAATCGTGGCGCTGTGATGGCTACTATGATTGTTGGGATGGATCCGATGAGGTCGAATGTAAGTTGGAACCACATGATTTAGAGTGAAAAAAGGGTTGCGTCCCGTAACAGACTTCCAGATCTATGTTGTTACGTTGGTATGCACCCACGTTCACAGTACATGTACATTATCATCATCCCAGCGGGTGAAGACACAGACCCAGCTCTGATTTTTATAAACACAAATACATGTAGAACCCGGCCTCCGAATGTTTGATCGGAAGGCTATTTACAAAGAAATTACTGAAGTGGAAAACGGTTCATTCGGTCTATAAAGAAACGGGGCAAGTACGGCCCTGTATGGAACTTAAGTGTGCACACGGGTTTTTTACGCTTTCTTAAAAGCTGCACTTTTTTGTTTGGTTCGGTTGACTGGCTGCCAGTGATGTTTTGTGTCTGGCTGTCTGTCTCAACGAGATTCGTCATCGCTCAGAATTCATTTCCCCTTTTTTTCATGTGCCGCTGTATTTTTTAACCCCTTGATGATTTTTGTTTGATGTGGTAACATAAGGTTGAAAAGAATATACTGTACATGTACAATACATGTACCCTTACATCAACAGTTGTAAAGTGCGTTCTTTGGAAAGGAACTAGGAGATGTTAGACGTGAAAATCTAAGATTTTACATGAATACCACATAATGATTTATAGCCTATGCCGCACCAGACAGAGCTGAGGTCGTTGCAGACGTCAGCACAGGAGTTTCTGTATATAGTTTTGAAGGGCTGTGACTTTTTTCACAGGTAGTAGGTGTCATTCCTACGAATTCGAATGCGAGAATGGAGGTTGTATCCAATTTGGTCACCGATGTGATGGTTACAATGACTGCGGTGATGAGAGTGACGAAAGCTTCCTAGAATGTAAGCATATTAAGGGAAGATCTCCCCGGTGGCGTGGTAGTGAATATCCCCTTTTGGTTAAATTCCATATTTCGATGCATGACACAAACACGATTTGTGCGCCCACACTAGCAGAGACTCTCTGCCTAACCTGCATTCGTTTTACTTCAAAACTGCATGGCGCTTTGGGAATTTCTTCTTTGCGGTTCTTTTCTGTGAGGTACGAAGGCCCGTTTATGCCATTGATTTTTTCATTTTTCGAGGTCACTTATTTTTATGTTCTTATGCATTTCCAGGAACTTTATGAAACAACCGTCTGGTCTCAAGACTTACCTTATTTTATGTACAAGAAATTACACGTCATGAGCCTATCATTGGGTATTTCTCAGCTACTGTTGGTTTTGCTGGGGAAAACCTGAAAAGTATAAATAAGTTTGTACCCGACAAATCCATTGACAGACGACTTTAAATCTATCAGATATAACCAAAATTGCAGTGGAACACAGCATAATTTCTTTCCACATCCTTCAAACTTAGTCACGATTTAAATGTTTTCTATTCATAACTCAGGTGGGATTTGTGACATTTCTACAAAGTTTGCCTGTAAGAGCAATGGACGCTGCATACCACGTGACTGGTCATGTGACCATTATGACGACTGCCTGGATCACAGTGATGAAATTTACTGTAAGATCATTCACTTGTGACTACAGTATTATAAATAGCCTTTCATCTTTCCTTCCTCTTGAAGATATTTGATTATGCAGTGCATTTTTTTTCTTATAGCCATCTGGAAAAATGGACCTTCGTGATTCAACTAACCTCAGTTTCAATTTTTTGTCATTTTTCATTAGGTACGTCGATGCCCTTTTGGTTTTATGTAATTCATAAGCAAATCGGTGATGTCATTCTGGAAAGAACACCTCGATATTGCGTTGATTTGTGTACAAACAACTACCGGAAATTTTAATAATTTTTCACTTCGTAAATTTCATTTCCTACCTTAAACATTTTTTGGCAGTCAGCCAATTTGTACAGAGATGCTAAAAACTCAACAGCGTCTTCCCTTTATGACATCTCAGTAACAGCGCCTTCAGTTGTCCAGAAAAGCATTAGAAATTGTTGATTAATTTCATGCATTTTTAAAGATAGATAGATATAAGAAAATTAAGAAAAATTGATTGCATGGATCTTATGAAAATAACACGTTTCCGGTCTACAGGTTCTAGCGGTAGTTATAATGGGATTTTTAATGTCTCTGGCAATGACGAACAGACCACTACAGTCTCAACCACGACACAGTCTCCCGTCACCACTGAGCCACCTACAACATCCTTACCAGGTAATTTGACTTTTGGTGGTGCAATGGTTAACCACAGCATTTTGGTCTGACGATGCATAACTTGGACAAGTCACAAAATGACCAAATAACGTTATAGTCTACTGGAATGCTCCTTTGAGACTCTGGTTTCTTTGTGTCGGCGTCAACACCTCAGGCATTCTAGAAAAAAAATCTTAGATCCACCTTAGGTGTTGCTTTGTGCATGAGCTAACACATCAGATCCCTTCTCACCCCACGCCGACAGCATACTGTGACTGGTCGCCGTGGGGAAGTTGGAGCCAATGCACAGCCAACATCTGCTACGCAGAGCGGCGGAACCGGACCCGAACCTGCCCGTGCGGAACCGACAATTGCCCTGCGCCGAACGACGGCACCGGGGCAGGTGACCGGGAGTACAGGATGTGCCCGCTGCAAAATTGTCCACAGGACGCAGGTGAGGGGAAGTTTTCACGCAATAGGTTGCTTTTGTTTTGTCACTTTTTTGCTATAACCCAATCTGGTGACTATGGTAACGCTATCATTGGTCATGTGCAGTGGCAATCGTCCATGGTGAAGCATTGCATGGAGCCACTGTTCCATGACAGTCGCTCCGTACAAAATCCAACACAGCGATTTCGGCCCTTAAAGGGGGCCACTGAGAATGACAAGTGAAAGGTCCCTAGATTCGTCTGTAGACAAAGGATGAACCAACTAATGTAACAGCCGACAGCAAAACAGGAAGCAGTAGCGAATCTTACGAGAGCAGGGAAAAGGCTGAGAAGTTGAAGATGAACTACCGGTAGAGCTTCATGGACAAACCGAGAAAACGATTATGTCGAGAAAACGGGTCGTCCAGGAATATTAACTTCTATTAATGATTGAATTTGATAAACACCAGCACATTGAACAGGCCGATCAAACGTCATCACCAGCTGCGTGGTGACCAGGATGACAACCCACCTCCATTAAACCTGGTTCTGGCTCGTCCAGCCATTGATGATTGCAGACAATCAGATAAACAAAATATCCAAGTTAATTCTCAGTAAATTCAGTCTCTGAGGGGCCCTTTACAAATCAATCTTCTTCCCAGATTCCGGATGCGGCACCCACGCCAATCTAGGTTCCCTCTTCTCCGCACGAATCGTCGGGGGCGAGAGCGCGACTCCCGGAGAGTGGCCGTGGCAGGCTCAGCTACGTGTCCGTAACAGCACCGGTCAGTTTGTCTTCGTCTGTGGTGGCTCGTTGGTCGACTGGAGATTTGTGGTGACGGCAGCTCATTGCTTCTCAGGGTGAGAACTGTCGGTTCCTCCATGGTCGGTAATCCTGGTGACGACTTAGAATTCGTCAGAGTTGATGCGGGGTGGTGACCAGGCCAACGAAGGGGAGGTGTTGGGTGATGACGTTCACTAATGACAATCAAAAATATTGATGGGGTGACTATGACGACGATGACAGTGATTGTGTTTCGATAATTGATGAAGTATTGTGCGGTAGTGGTGGATGTGGTTTGCACGGTGTTGTAATGATGACGAAAATATTGAGGTTGGATACATGATTAACGAAGTTTTTTCTATAATCAAGACAAACCGTTTAAGACAATTATGACATTGATGCAAAATGTAAGCCAGCTTCATTGTTAAATGATGAGAAAATATGATTGATGGGTAATGTTTTCCTGGGTCTAACAAGCCCTGCTGATCAGTCGATTTCTTCCTTCCTCAAAACAATGGGTCCAAAGGCTCAGCACCCAGGGTGGTTACTTCGCCGGGTTTCAGAACCACTGAAAATTGGTTGTTTGAGGCCGCCCAGATCCAATAATCCATACAACTGATTGGTTATCTGGTCAGGTCCAGCAACCCCAGTAATTGGTTGGTCATCCTAGGTCGTCACCAGATCGACACAGGAGGCACACAGTTCACAGTCTCAGACATCGTCGCCCACGAAGACTATAACGTTGGTACGTCAGAGCACGACCTGGCTATTCTCGTGCTGAGCGAGCCCGCCGAGCCGTCTCGCACCGTCAACACTGTCTGCCTCGACGAACTGGGCGAGAAGAGTTTCAGCAAGGAGTCGAACTGCTACATCACTGGATGGGGATACACTTCATGTGAGTGCTTGCATTCTGAGATTCTTAATTACAACAGGGAGGAGGGTTGTTCCAGATGGCGAAAACAGTTAAGATTTAATTATGACCTAAATGCCGTCGTAAAAGACTGCCGATTTCTTTCACTTCAAAGATCAAGGTCCAACGTCTACTGTATTGCAAGAGGCCAATGTTCCCCTGATACCACATGACGTATGCTCTAAACCAGAAGTCTACGGTCAATTGGTACTACCCACAATGCAGTGCGCCGGGTATCTGGAAGGCGGGGTTGACTCATGCCAGGTGAAAAATTTTTTTCCAGAATATAAGTATTAGTTTGGTAAAAAAATAAAAAGCAATCACAATGCTTTATTTTTTGGAATGTCAATTATTCAGGGTGATTCTGGTGGACCGCTCGTCTGCACGACCACAGATTCATCGAGTGGCAAGGCACGTTACTACCTCGTCGGGGCCACGAGCTGGGGGATCTCGTGCGCGGAAAAGAACCACCCGGGCGTTTATACCAAACTTGCCGACTACACTGATTGGCTGAGGCAACAAATGGACAGCCACCCTCCGTCGTAGAGGGAGGACTTTCCAATTTATCACAATCCGTCTGTGAATACACTGTCTTGATTCTCGTTTGTCTATTTGGTCATTTGGTGAACAGCACAATTTTGCAACCGCAGAGGAGGTTGGTTTGCTTACCGACGCTGTTTGCTTTAATCTCCTCTTTCTCTTCGTATAATATAAGAGGTGTATTAATGTTTTTGACTTCTAAGCCTAATTTGTTTGTATAGACCATTCTTGTTACAGCGCAAATAGCCTTTTTCTTGAACATAGCTTATGAGAATCTGTGGGTTATCTCGTCGTAGTTTTTGACTCTCGTGTATCCTGGAGTCCGACACGGTTGTTTTGTGTCTTTTCATAGGTTTTATCTCTGGTCTTACAGTTAATTCAACTTTATTGGACGACGTCGTAGGTTTGGGGCGTACAAATATGGGTAATTTAATACGACTTTCTATGACGAGACATTGTGTAGTAGGATAATATTTCAGAGAAAAATTGGGGGAAGGTCCCATAATATCGGTACATGTACTCCGTTGTAAAATACTAGTAGTGAAGACTTTGCAATAGATGCCGTGAAGATGAAGTCTGCCGTGAAAGACTTACTGCTACCCGTGAATTCTTGAAAAGTCAAATGATACAGACCTACACCGGCGCGTAGGGCGGGGTTTATTTCCCCACTGCAAAAATAGAATTTGAAATTCCAATACAAAATCACGTGGAGATATGATTCCAATACGAAATGACGTGGAGATATGATTCCAATACAAAATCACGTGAAGATATGATTCCAATACAAAATCACGTGGAGATATGATTCCAATACAAAATCAATGGAGATATGATTCCAATACAAAATCAATGGAGATATGATTCCAATACAAAATCACGTGGAGATATGATTCCAATTCAAAATCACGTGGAGATATTAAAAGAAGATGGGGTAGACTGAAATACTTTTGTGATACATTTGATGCTTTTGTCGCCTATTTTCATCGTACATTGACCATCCATTTGCCGTCCCGATTTTGCTTCTCAGTGTCATTGGCCTGATTGATTGTAAGATTTTTTGTTAATTTAATGTTTTTCTTTTTCGGTTTTGGTGTGTGTATTGATTAGTTGCTTTAACCCCTCAGATTTTAATGGAATATTCTTTCTCCCTTCCTATTTAAGTTGACCAGGCCATGAGTCTTCTTCAGGAACTTTCTCATTGTATACACCCCTCCAGTTGGAGTCCTTTCGTGCAGGTCTTTCGTGTAGTGTAGCCGTTTTCTTTCACTGATAGAAAAGTATTATTTCGAGCCAAATTAGAGATGGGTGTCCACTAGGAATTTTTTTCCCGTGTCCTGACTAGTTGGTTAAATTTTCACTCCAGATGTGTTGAACAATAAACCAGTATTGAAGGTGAACCAGTGTCTATGTCTTTTTCCTTAGTAAGTTAGGTTAGCCAGGTTCTGGCAAAAAGCTGATTCTTTTATTATCTAAAAATTAGGATAAGCTTGTTGGAGTGAAGTGTGAAATGGAAGTGATGTGAAAAGTACCATAGCTGGGCTGAGAGTCAGAATGCCAGATGATTCCGCTGTGTCAGCATGACATTTGAGTAGCTCCCAAAAGCGTTTTCTCATTGGCCAAAAGATACAATTAGAGACACTTTTGCCCAGTAGGCACAAATTCAGGTGCCTCATGCAACAACTAACGTGCCACGGTTAGGACAGAACCGAGGAAAACCAGATTTTGTTGTCAAGGCCAGCAGTGGAGCAGAACTCAACCACCTTAGGCCTACGTACACCCCACTCAAGAAACTCGTAAGTGTAAATACCCTATTTATTTTGGCAGATTATTCTCTAAAGTTCACAGATGTTTTGACAAGATGAAGTTCCTTTCCTTCACTGAAAATATCAATAGAATTTGTAGATGCAATTTGATTTGATTTTACAGTCATATTTGTCAAGGGTGAATGATTCAGCTGTGTAATTTAATTCGAAAGCTATCAAGGATTATTTTAAAGTTTGAATAGTCAGGAACTTACCTTTTCTTTTCAAATTAAAATACATGTATACTACTTGTACAGTTTGGCCATTTCTTTAAATTTAGATGGTCAGCGGTCACTTTTGATGTCAGCTACCCTGTTACCGTGCTACCCGGTGTCACATATTGATCTAGACGACAGAAACCCTACAAATACCCCAGTACAGCGCTGAGAATTGAGGCAACAGAGTTGACACACCCCGGGAGCCGGAACTGAACTATACGGGATATGTACATTGAAAACTACATGTATTTCTCAATGAGAAAGAACAAAACCTTTTGTGAATTTTTATGACAACGAACTCTAATCTTCTGTGATTGTAAGGAGCCTGAAATAATTTGAAAAGGGTCAAATTGATTTTGTATTTCACTGATTGAATTTGAATTTGATTTTTTCTTGGAGTAACAAAATACGTCAAATCGGATGTTTGAGAATCAGAAAAAAAGAGGCAATTTAACAGTTGATTGTAAACCTCATTTTTGCCTGCAACTTGATGAAATCCTTGATTGAATCGTGTTCTTTTATGCCTATGTATAAAGTTTTGTAAATAAAGCAGTTGTAAACCAGAAGGGAAGAACACTTTAAAACCGAGAAGTTTCCGCCTCATCCTTTTGGCAGTCACATTCTTACACCGATGTTGTTTCAAAATCTGCAGTCCGTTAGAACCATTCTCGGTTACACACCCCTTGCCACTGATCCGGTATCTGTTTGGAAGGCTCGATAAAGGCAGTGAAACTTGATAATATAGGATCTTCGGTTTTGAAGGCTCGATAAAGGCAGTGAAACTTGATAATATTGGATCGTATGTACAAAAACAAATCGATGTCAAGCAATAATATTATGCTTTGTCACGGACCGTGGTGTTTTTCCTTCCTCCTATCTTTTCGTCTCCAGATCGGGTTTCAGCTGACTTTCGTGAATCTGCACTTATTCATTCACTGTAATTTTGTTCATTTTATGGACCAAGTTTGGATCTAGGCCAAATATTAAAATAAACAATGTGACACACAATGGCTCAACGTTATTTTACTCATTTTAGAGTGTCGTGATGAAAGTGGTAGCCTGTTATCCGTTTTCTCCATCTCAGTGAAAGCATGTTTCACATCATGAAGACGCAGAGTTAATTGAGCTAACTCTGAGCAATATTTCCCAACCACATGTGGGTAATTATCATCTGACCACGTTTTCTGTTTCATTTTAATTTCATGGCACATTATGTGGCATGGGGGGTGTATCCAAGACTTTTCGCATAAATCAGAGTCTACTTGTTCAACTCCTGGAGGGCGCTATATCTTACGTTTGCAGAGCATTGTGCAAAACTCTGGCTGCATCCCCCAAAACTTGGCCCCATCTGTAAATAATGCTATGGGAACTGGCCCTGTTCGACGCTTCCATGCAAGCTCCCACCGCAGGCCTCGCCCATCTTGCTCTTGGCGGTGGTGTCGAGTTCCAAATTTCTTATGGGCTTGCCTCCCTGGAGGATTGGAGGCCATGTGGTCACCCGAGGCTCATCTGGCTGTAGTATTCTTGTTGAATGCTGTCCACTTGTCATCTGACGAGTGCTTCTTGCGCTTGACTGGAGAGGTTGCAGGTCACTTCTACCC